TAGAGATCTATCGACAAAGACTACTCACTTCTGCCTAGCTTAATAGTATTAGGTTGCCGCAGCTGATAGGGTGAATTTCGGAAGAGATCACATTTGGTGAGAATGCTCTCTCTGGTTATTTCAGTTTCCGTTTTTAAAAGCGCTATATGTTGAGCCACCTCAGCTAGATTTGGCATGTGACATTTTTAGCTGCAATCATTGGTCAATTTTCTAGCGTTGCCATTCGGGGAGTTGTAATGAGGCTTTTTTTGGTCGCCGTGTAATAGAAATATATATGTAGATTTTTAATGTAACAATCAGTTTATCATCAAAAAGATTGAGAAGTAATAGTAGGGTTCGGTGAGCGAAGCGAAGAGGTAATGTACATTACCACAAGTGACATAAATTGATTAAAATAGAGAACTGCAAGCACTGAATAACAATTTTTCCCCCATTTCTTTAATAAATATTGAAAATTGAGGGGGAAAAAATGTTTAAAAAGAGCGTAGAAAAATTTTTCAGTGATAGCCATTTTGAAGGTCCTCCATTATTTAAATCTGAGATGGTCTCTTATCCAAAATTAAAGCTTCATATGTGTGGTATAATTCTTCCAAGTTTTCTGCTTTTATCATTAAAAGCGAGATTCATTCATATGTTTCAACAATCCACCGCACTAAGCGGAACTTTTAACAGTTATTAAATAGAGCACAGTTTTTTATCGTATTAGCATTATTATTTTTTAATTTTAAAAACTTTCAGCATAAGTATTAAGATTTATGTGTCTGGCAGCATCTGTTCTTTCTCCTTCTCTCTCTCTTTCTTTGTTAATTTTGACATCAACTTAAGCTTGAGTTTATAGAAGAAATATTTCAAAAGATATATTTTTTAAAGAAGAAATATTTTTTAAAATATTCAATCCTTTTTACCCATGCAAAATTTGCATCGACGAAAATGAGCCTAAGAAATTAAAATATTTTTACCTTTTCCAATACAACTGTAATGGGATACCTGCTAGTGACGCAGTGTGAGTATCTCAATCATGATTGATTTTTGAAATCTGGCATTTGTTTACGTTAGCAACTGTTCTTTCCGATCGATTTCGAGTAAGCCAAACCCATCACGTATCAATTCTCTTTAGCGACGCATTCTAAATTCTTACACAAAGATTCTTTCTCAAAGATTTCAATTCTTTCACTATATATTATTTGCACTGAGATTTAGCACAAAGACGAAGCCAAGAACATGAACAAACTAATTATGCATCGAAGTTACCAGATACACAAAACAAGAATATATCATGGTTATACAATAAAATGTATGGGCAAATAATAAATCTAAGTTAAGTAAATGAAGACGACGAGAAAGAATTATATTTCAACTCATTCGATGCGCAGTACGGCTCTATATTTAATTAACTTATCGTTAATTAACATTCTAACTTATATACAGGAACTTAGCTCAACTTTAATACGCCATTTTACTGATAAAGATTAGCTGACGTCACAGATCACATGTGTGGGTATGGGAGATCTTCTTCTTCTTCATGAAGTGCAAGTACCCAATTAAAAAAGCATTCTCATATAAATACAGCATTCCTATAGAATGATTTCAAAATTGCTGTTATTAAAACTAGAAAAAAAAAGGAAATTTCCCTTTCTCATTTCGGTCAATCAGAATTTTGCATCGGTAAATATGATTTTACTTCTAAAATTCTTTCAAACTGTGTCACCAATTTTGCCATGTAAAATCTATCATTATATTTTCTGCTAAAAGAAAGATTGTTTACATAGAGTTAGTATATAAGTGTTTCCCTATTTTTAATCACTATAGGCTAATGGTCGGTCAAATTTTTTCTAGCGAGTTTTTTTTTTACTTCCTAGCTTACATGCTTGAATGCCACTAAAATTTTGAGTTCAACATTTATGTTTTAATTTATAAATCTTGGAAAAACAAATTATTGGCATCGAGATCGAAAATTCAAATCAAAACAAATTGTTCACATCTTGAGGATTCAATAATTTAAATGTAGATATATGATATATATTAGGTGGATATATATTTTTAAATTTTGTCAAAATAATCTAGTTTCAAGAAAAACTTTTCTAGTTTAATTAGTAATTTACTACCAGTTTATATGCAATCTGTCCTAACAACTATACAAGTTGACAGTCAAGTATACCTTACCTGATTTTTCAGAAAATTTGATATTTAAGTTTATAAACCGTGATTTATGAATTTCTTCTTCTGAAAATGGTAGTAATAATAAAATTTACCCTTTGCACACGAGGCTATTTCAACGGTTAAAAAAAGCAGACTCGACCACTAAACATTTCTTACAATATATAAAAATATAATGATGGTGTCGCAGTTATCCATTGTTTGCCCATGCATTTTTATTGGCCGGGAAAATCACGTGGTAGGATTCAGTTTTTCCTCATTCATTTCCATGTTGTTTTGGTTGCATAAACTTTATGAAAGTCGTAAAGGTATTGTTTTTCTATAAATATTTTTGTATCCCTAATTTAAAGATGTTTTCCTGTGCTGCTATTATTACACTTTTAATTCAAGAGTTTAAAACTAAGAAAATTGTTTATTATTATTATGTAATTAAGCTCTAGATTTTACGATAAAGTTAATAAGAAAATCTTATCTTATTAACTATTTTACAATTATTATTTTTGTGCAAAAACATTAACATACTCTTATAAATTACAGAAAGAGATCTGTTTAATGATATAGAACTTAACGATCAGCTTCATGCTCAATGAGATGCAAGCAAAAATAGTATTTAATATATGCACTCGTTTGGTAAGCGAAAATATTAATATTGAAACCTCATCAAATTTGTTTGAACAATATGAATGTCATTTTAAAAAAATGATTACTTAGAAAAATTACTTCTGTTCACCCATAGATCTAAATATTTATAATACTAACAGATAATAATATTTGGAAGTGGAAAGTGGAGGCACAAACGTAAGCAAACAGAATTCCTTTTAGTGTATATGTTGATAATAATCAAAGTATGAAGCGCCGGCATTCTATAGAATGCCTAGGCATTGTATATAACTATATAATGCCGGATGTTTTTGTGCAAGGTATGAAATTTGAGAAGTATTACATGCTTTCCCTGGGCATTTTATATAATACCTAGGCATTCTATAAAATGACAAATGCTATTTAGGCAAAGTATGAAAAAAACGTCCTGATGAGGTTATGTAAATGATGTGCATTTCTCAAAAATAAAAATTTTAATCTGAAAAAATAATGAGAGTGCCATTAAAAAAAATCTATTCAAAATGAGTAAAAAAAAATGAAAGTTGTACAAAGCATAATTTATGCATTTCTTTTTAAGGGAAACGAAATTTCCATATATAAAAAAATACGAAATTAACCTACTTGTTGCAACATGGCAGGCTTGGATAACATTTTGAATTGCATTTCATTACATTACGCGAAACGAATCGGAGATGTATTTTATACTTTGCCGGTTTCTCATTTGCCATTCTACAGAATGCCTAGGAAATGTGGGAAATATAAATCGTTTCATACATTGCCGACTAGTTTCAAGCATTGTATACAATGTCTAGGCATTCTATACAATGCCGAATTTCAAACTTGACCGGTAACATTTATATGAATAATTTAAACTTCAGTAGAAGAACTGCTTTCTGCCAAGAAACGACAATTATTGCGAAGCAAACATTGGGGTTGGTGAGCGGGAGTGAACAGGAGACTTAGCCCCCTAGCTACAAGATTAAACCCATTGTTTGCACCCATGACATATAATATCCGCAAGCTACTGAAACGAAGTGGTTGCTAAACATTAAACATATAAACAGTAGTAAAGAATTTGCAGTTTGTAGTGGTGACTGATAGTCACTACTTGAGTGCAAAGGGTTAATCAGTGTCATGAAATACAGTATATAGTAATGACTGTCATGAAAAAGACTTTGACATATTTCATGAAGCACTTAATTTTTTATAATTATAAAAACAAGGTAAAATACTTTGACGCAAAACTTCTTTTTTCTTTTCTTTCAAGAACATGAAAATAATAAAAAGTTGCCGAACGTGAATGAGGAAAACAAAAGTAATATGAAAAAGAAAATGTAGAGTTACTACCGAAAAAATAGAAAGTAGGGATGGAAAACAAAACTCGAAGATCTGCAGTGGCCGAGAGTGTAGCAGAAAACGGGAAATAAAGGTGAAAAAACAAAATTAGAAAAATCATTGGGGCTTAAGAGAGAGATAAATCCAAGCAATATGTCTCGGAAATTATTTCCCTCTCTCGGCCACTGTGTTTTTATTTTATTTTATTCTCACTAAAAAAAGTTTGAATTCTTTTCTTTAAATTCGTTTTCTGGACATTTATTTCCGAATAATACGATATGTATATGTAAACGATATGTATGAATGAACCCAAAACTATTTCTGGAGATGAATGCATTTTTTGCGAAAGTTTGAATTTTTGTATTTAACTCCCCAATAACCCATTAACAGTTATTTGATTTAAATTTCCGCTTAATTTTACATGCTTTTTGCACAGCACATCAATGAAAAACTTAATGGAATAGCATGTCACGTCGAAAAACACTTGATTTCTTATATACAGTATTAAGGCTGTTTTCAATGGTTAAAAAAAGGTATTTTATTTGCAGCTGCCTAGATTTCACATATATTATAGAATTGAATTTCGCCATTCCACCAGATTCCCTTTATAAATTTGGAGTTAAACGTTTTATTAAACTATCTTTTTATTCATTTATACCTATTAATTATTATTATTATATCTGATTTTAATGCAGTTCTTTCAATTAGGCTTTTGGGACCGCTTGCAACTATTTATTAATCTTTTTAGTAAAATGGTTGTTAAAAATAATTTTATTGTATTATCCAGGTAAAAAAAGTTATCACATTAAATTTTAAAAATGAAAAAAATTACATTTATTAAAAGCTTCAAAAAATGTGTCTCTTTATACGAAGTTCTAAAGTTCAAATAAAAAGTAAAAATTACTCACGATGTCCAAGTTCAAGGAGAAGTTCGTTGATGGGCCGAGGGCTTACGGGGGACCCCTCGTTATGATGCCATAGCAACGAGGCGGTGACCAACACGGCGAAGAAAGCCATAACCACTTCGCCGTTTATTTTAACTGCTTCGCTACAAGTCTTCTATTATGAAATCCATTTTTTTTAAAATCAATTTGAAACTGGAAAATTCCTAAATATTTTTTTTTAACTACGGCATCACAAATTTTATTTTTAATTTATCTGTCAAATGTTTGCCGGTGTTGTTGAAATAGCAAACGACATCAAACAACGCACTAATGTCGCTTTCACTGCGGCAGAGAAACCAACTGACGGAATGTTCCTTCGGTAACCGCGGGAGGGCGCTTTCGTCAACTCTGGGAATTGATCTTATTGTGAATCGCTGTCATAGGATTCCTTTAATTGAGAGCTGGTGGCATTACGAAACGTGGGAAAAACAATTTAAAAAATTTTTCTATTATTCTTTTGTATGGATGAATTGAAAAAACTCATTCGTTTTTATTAAATTTCCACTTTGGAATATTTTTTTATGAATAAGTCTGCTGCATAACATAAATTTGATACATAAATATAGTTTTGCGTTTCTCCCGAAAATATTATTGGTCTGCTGATTCCGTCTTTTGAAAACAGAAACTGTTTTTGAACACGTGAAATAAAAAACACAATTTCAGAAATTGATTCATAAAAGAACTATTATGGGTTAACAATCGAGCTCTTTATTATGGGCCCTGATCAGACCCACGGCTTAGTGCCCCGTATAAGTGTCATTTAAAATTTTAAAAATAAATAAATAAATTTATAAATTTACAAAATAAAGTTCATTTTTATACTAGTTAATATTTTATTTACCTTATTAATATATTTATTCAAACTAATATTTAATAAATAATTATCGATAATGTATCGAATCTAACTATATATAAAATTCTAATGATGGTGTTGCAGTTTTCCATTGTTGTCGTTGCATTTTTATTGGCCGGAAAATCACATGGTAGAAACCAGTTTTCTCACATTAATTTTCAAATTGGTTTGGCTGTCATCGGCATAAAATTGATATAAGTCATAAAGTTATTGTTTTCCTATAAATATTTTTGTTTACCTAATTTATAATTTTTTTTGTATACCTCTAAGTATTTACCTGTACTGTTATTATTACGTTTTTGATTTTGTTTGATTTCCAAATTAAGAGTTTAGGAGGATTGCTTTTTTTTATTATTATTATTAGAATAACATAATTTTACGTTACATTTTAAGATAAAGTTATTTAAATGGGTGTCTGATCTTATTAATCGTTTTTCAATTATTATTTTTTGGTGCAAATTACATTAGTATACTATTATAAATTGCTGTTAACGATATTCGTTAAATGATTTAGAACTTAACTTTCAGCTTTCATGCACAAAGTAATGAATGCAAAAATCGTACTTAAATTATATCCTTCCGTTTGGTAAGCAAAAATATTAGGTACTTACGTATTAACGCAACCAGGCCAAAATTCGCATAAATCGCCAAATTTGGCGACCCTACTTACGTCAACCCTACGTGTTATACGTGGTTTTTAACAAAATAATATAAAAAACTGTATTTGTTATGAGAAATAATGCACTATGTGATGTCGAAATAATATGTAATCTAAAAGGTTATTAAAATATATGCTTATAATTTTGTTTGTAAAATACTTTGTTTTATAAAAAAAATTGATTTCAATTTTTTCTACTTACGCCAAACTTGGCGATTTATGCGAATTTTGGCCTGGTTGCGTTAATACGTAAGTACCAAATATTAAATTACAGTTGTGAACTCACCAAATTTGCTTATATCAATGTACTTTTAATTATGAATGTTATTTCAAAAAATAATTACATAGAAAAATTATTTATGTTTACTTATAATAATTACTTACTATTAGAATAATCACTTAATTCTTAATGGCATCGTAAGAGAAATATTTGGATGTTTGAAGAAGTGTTCTTTTTAGTACATATATTTTTAGTTGAATAATTCCAACTGTTTTGTGCCAAGAAACAACAATTTTTGCAAAGCATACCTCGGGATGGGTGAGCGTCAACAGGACGAGCGGTTAATTCTCACTTGGGCCGGATCACGCTATTGGTCGAAAATGACATCACTGTGGGAACGGAGATGTTGGCTGGTGTTTGTATGAGTTTGGCGACAAATTTCGTATGCACACTTGCTCGCTCGGAATTTATTTATTCCTTGCAAATGTTTACTTAATAATATGTCGTCGTTAGGGTGGGGAGATAGGTAAATGTCCACTTCAGCATTTCAGACAATATTTATGTTTTAATTGATTTAAATTCATCAAAGCTAAAAACAATTACTCATACATCGCAATTTAGTTGTGTTATGAATAATTTTAAAAACTTCATAATCAAGCAACACGTAAATTTAGTTTAAAGTAATGACCAAAATTCTGGGCTAGCCTCCCCCCCCCTGCATTTCTAGAACAGCCCCAGTTGCTAATGACGTAAAAGCAGTATAGCTTAATTTCACTTACTTAGATTCTAATAAAAAATTACCACAAAACTGTGCAAAATATGAATATTGTCTTTATTACTCAACATTAATACCACGTGTAATTAGAGCGTATTTGAAAACTAAATATTAAATCTGTCGCCAAATCAAGATCTGTCGCCAAAATACTATGCAATACACAGTATATCCCTTCCTCAAACAGTGATGCCATTTTCGACCAATAGCGTAATCCGGCCCAAGTGAGAATTAATCGCTCGTTCAACACGAGGCTTAGCCCCTCTAGTATGTTAAAAACAAATTTAATTCAAAAACTTATCAATTAAAAAATGTATAAGGCAGACTTTAATATATGATGACAGAGTTCTTTTACACGATGTGAGAAATATGTGACGACAGAATTCTTCTGAGAGTATTCCCCACTTCCGGAAAAGGAATCCTGGCTAAGGAAGAGTTATAGATTAAACGAGATCCCGGGTTTGAGGAAATTTTTTCTTCTTCCAAATAGTTAGTAAGTCCACAGAACGATGCACAAATAACCCTGTTAAAACGAATAATTTCTCCTGAAAATGATTTTACTTAATCTTTCAGAAAAAAGTATTCAATTGTTTGCAAAAATTCCACTCACTCTTTCGGTTTAATTTGTTCAAAAATTGTATTTATTGCTAATCCCCGTCCCGCCCCCAAAGGGGGCATCCCGGTATCAATAAAGACAAACAACAAGATTTTAACAGTAAAGACAAACCGGAAAACAATAAAGTCATCCGGGAAACAATAAAGACAAATAATCACACATTAACCGTTTGCAAGGGTAAGTGCGATCTAAAACAGATGAAAAGAAGAACTTCACTACATAATAATACAATTTAGAAAATTCGTAAGTAGTTAGTCAAAGGGGTCCCAAGAATAACAAAACCTTTATAAAGATGGTGTGCAAATAAACCACACAATTTTTGAAAGAACAGCTACACAAGTATATATCTACACAGCATGTATATGAATTAAAATGGTGAGTTGTATAACAATGAAACTGGAAAGTGAAAGTGATGTCTGCGTGAAAATATTAACAGATGCATAGATGATATCAGTTACAGTAAATGGTATGGAGTTGGAACTTATCCCAATGGTTTGGAATATCCCCTCGGCGCGTAGTAAATGGTGACTTATGCACGTTAAATCTGTCGAGTCGCAAAGTCCTCCACGTTCCCATAACAAATCAATACCTCTGGGGGTACTGATCCAGGAGTTTCCTTGTCTTCTGGATTGGGTTCAAAATTACAAGGCTACGGAGATGAACATTAGTAGTCGTAAACCCAAAATTGGGTCGGCTGTTCAACATAAAATAAAATGGTTTGGAATAGCTCTAAACCAGGTCCTTGAAATTGTGCAAATGATCCATTAACTTTGAGACAACCATTGATGTTTTGTGCCTCATCTTTGACACACTCTCTCGACCTTTTTCAGCGAAATTGAGCAAAAAATAGTATAGAAACAAAGAAAAAAAGCAAGTTTCTAATATGTCTTGACAAAATCACGCGAGTACAATAACTTAAAGAAGATATTGCTATTCAAACCATTAGATTATGAAATTATTAACGCCCATGTTCTTTTCCAAACGTTTGGAAAGCACAGAATCTGATAGTGATGGCAAATCAACGATTCATCTACTGCTATCCTCATGGTTCGTTATACGTCGAAAAAATTTAATAGTTCAGTTAGACCAATCTGAAAAATGAACCATATTAAAATTAGATCAAATAAGATATTATAAGTAGTAAACCTTTTTTACTACATTTTTTAGTTTATTTTTATATATACTCTCTCTTTCTCTCAATTGTTACTTTATTACCACATTAAATAAAATGAGAGAAGGTTAAGCATTTACAAGCTACTACAAAAAGACGAAAATTAAAAATTGAAATCATAGTTACCGTTTCTGCAGTTTCGTTGGTATCATCGCCCTATTAGAACGGTCGATGTGTATATTCGATCGATTTCTTTCAAAATTTATATTTTGTTACTTTAAAATTACGTAGTTCAAAGGGATTACATTTTTTTTGTAGATTGCAATTCAAAAAGTTTTCGATCATAATGAAGTCAAATAAAATAGAAAATTTGCTCCTAGTAAAAATATCTGTGGGCTGAACGAATTTCCTAATTGTGTGAAATAAAACTTTTTTTATTTATTTAAATAGCTTCAGCGATATGGATGCACGCAAGAAGTGAAATTAGATTAAGCGGCTCAAAATTTCGACTACTCTGCTGAGTGAACCATAATTTGCAGACTCCCCCACCCCATATTTTTAGAGTTAAGAATGAAAGATCTTGTTATAGCAGTGTATATTTTTAAGGAAAATACGTTTTTGCACCTGATTCCATAGTTTAAAATATCATTGTCCGAAATTAAATAGAATATTTAAGGTCAGGCATTGAATTATGAGGATTTCATTATGCTGCACTCCAAACATTAGATCAAAAGTTATTAAAGTTTTTTTTCTTCGTTAAACAGTTAACTAAAAATAAAAAAATAAATAAATAAACATTTATGATATTTTAATGTGAGTTTTTCTTCCATTCTATTTTTTTGTAAACTTTTAATAACCTTTGTTCGAATGATTGGATCTTTCCANCTAGACGGCGTACTCGAGCGTTGCGATCGCGAATTGTTTTTCTAGAAATATTTTTGTATACCTAATTTATAATTTTTTTGTATACCTATGTATGTAGTATTTTGTATGTAGTATTTATCTGTACTGTTATTATTACGTTTTCGATTTTGTTTGATTTCCAAATTAAGAGTTTAGGAGGATTGCCTTTTTTTATTATT